AAGTGCAGGTAACATTCTTTAGCAAAAAACAGGGAAAAGCAGAAGTTTACTTAAATCAAGCTGATGGTGTTCAAACTAGCGTCTCAGGATCAATCAGAAAAGACTGGGATGATGAAATGAAGCGCGTGCTTCTGCAATTAAGGAGGTTCCAGCAGTTCCATTTCGTGAGACTTCGAAAAGTCGCTTGAATGAAGAGATAAAGATATTTGTCACCCTAAATCATTATTTCGAAGCAAAATTCAGAGAAATATTCACAAGAATGAAAATTCAGCACAGCTCAGGCCCAGAATCAAGGAGATGGCTTGCTGGGCCGAATATGAGCTACTGGCCTCAACTCAACTTTGCTGTGTGGTGCGCTACTTCTGGCTGTGGAATCTCTCATGAACTGCTTGAACTGGTTCCAGAACAGATCAAGTCGTTTCTGCAGTTTCACATTTATTTCACAATCAGAAGAATTCTCTTTGAGATGGGTGGAATACAGAGTGAATTGGCTCTCCCGGGCGACTCAACTTTCAGTCAGACGAATAACAACTACGATCAGCCGTCGTTCAAAAGATTGTGTTCAGAATTTCGTCGAGCACAGACTTCCACTTCAAAGAAGGAGACAATCACGGTCTCAGATCTGTTTTCATTTATGTCACAAATACTGGACCTATGGCAACTGCAAACCTATTCTTCATTTGCAACCACGTGACAAAAATACGTTACGTCATCGAAGTCGGCCATGTTGGACGATATGCAAATCATAAATTTACAAGCGAACATGGCGTCTTCAAGTGATACATTGGTTTTTTCGGAATATTTTTATACTTTAGATGGTCCTACTAGGGAAAGGTACAAGCAAAAAGCTAACTTAGTGGGTTTTGACCCTTTTGATTTAAGAAAAAGTGATTTGAGCGAAGATTTAGGGCTAATTCCTGGCGTCGAATACCCTGATATAGTGAACTATTTGATCCTTCAAACATCGTGGGCAACCAATTCTGAGATGAAGGCTTACAAGTCTTTGGATGCCTTTAATTTCTTCATTTCTGGATGGGTGAATACACTGATGATGAAGGAAGTTACTGAAACTACAGTTGTCGTATTAACAAGGGTAAGTTAAGGTTTGACTAAGTTATTCTATAGCTTCGGTTGTACAACAACAAATTACTGGTAGTTTATTATTGTAGGTACGTATGTTAAAAATACTGCTTCTAATTATTTTCAGGTAAATCACTCTCAAAGAGCGAGTGAAAAGCCATTAAAAGCCTGGATATTGGCAGAATACTCAGGAAAGGTTATTACAGCACATTGTGACTGTATGTCTGGAAAAAGTGAGTGCTGTTCTCACGTTGCTGCTATATTGTTTGCTTCAGAAGCTGCGTGTCGAATGCATTCATCAACAACCTGCACCCAAACCAAAAGTCAATGGCTGATGCCAGGTTATGTTAAAGAAATACCTTATGCAGCTATAGAGGAAATCGATTTCACCTCAGCAAAGAAAAAACACTCACAACTCCTTGAAGACAAAAAAGTACCAACAGCTCTACGAAACAGTGACGAAGTAGTTCAAAGACCACTAACCATAACGAGTTATGAAGAACAGTTGAACTTTTTTCAAAAGATTTCATTGTCCGACAGCAAGCCTGCCATCTTATCTCTAATATCCCCATACAATACCAAGTATATCCCTAAAGAAGCAGCTTTACCCCAACCATTGACCCACCTCTATGATGCAAATGCTACAGAACTAAACTATGATGAACTTCTTAGTAAGTGCATAGACAGAAGCTTACAGATTTCAATAACAGATGAAGAAATAAAGGCTATTGAGGAGGGTACTAGAGAGCAGGCATCAACTAATGTATGGTACAAGCAGAGGGCAGGAAGGATAACAGCCTCAAACTTTAAATCTGCATGCCACACAAACATCAGCAGGCCCTCCCCAAGCCTTATTAAGAGAATTTGCTACCCAGAGTCTACTAAGTTTAGTAGTGCAGCAACAGCATGGGGCTGTAAAAATGAGACCAATGCCCGTAAGGCCTATTTAGAAAAAACGAACAGATGCCATGATGACTTTAGTATTTGTGATAGTGGACTGCAAATAAATAAGCAGTGGCCTCATATTGGAGCATCACCAGATGGATTGGTCAATTGCAAATGCTGTGGGGCAGGTGTTTGTGAAATTAAATGTCCGTACAGTGCTAAAGATCTCAGCCCAACTGATCCACATGTAATAAGTGACAAAAACTATTGTCTGCAGAATGACAGTGATAGCATCTATCTTAATAGAACACATGCAAATTACTACCAAGTACAATGCCAAATGTTCATTTGCAATGTGGAATATTGTGATTTCATCGTATGGACACCACATGGACTTTATGTTGAAAGGATAATGCCAGATGTGGAGTTTTGGAGTGCTTCTGTTGCCAAGGTAACAGAATTCTTTAAAATAGGTATTCTACCTGAGATTGTTGGAAAGCTTTATACCCGTCCCTCACTACCCTCAACACTCGTAGCACCTAGTCCCGATGATGATAGCGCAGAGTGGTGCATCTGCCAGCGATATATTGAAGACAGCACTCTAGTTGGATGCGATAATGATGATTGTAAAGTTAAATGGTTTCACCTTCAGTGTCTAAGACTAAAGAATCCCCCAAAAGGTAGATGGCTGTGTATGGACTGTCAAAAACTGGACTAGATGCAATAGTCATATATTTTTCGTACCAAATTAAGGCAGAGAATTACAAGTACAAAACAGTGTTTACTATGTTCATGATATCACTAGTAATAGAAAGAAGTCATTCAATCCATACCCATTTACGTCAATTGGAATATTGAGTACTGCACTGTATGTTCTGCCACATATAATAATAGAAAATTGACAGGGTGCTCACACCTAAGTACTAAATTGTGTTTACTAAATGGTGTTTAGTGATTTGCAAAGTTATAACCAATTTGTTTACATTGTTAAATCATGAAATAAACTGTTTATTTCACTGCTATATTGTTGTTAAAATATTGCTTTCTATTTACTGATATTTTTGAAAGGACTAGACCAACTATGTATTAAATACTTTGACTACTCAAAAGGCACAATTGAATCTGACAAGTTAGTCAGGGCACAACATAATTTTGCAATTCTATCAATGGATGCTTGCTTGCCACTTTTTGCTTTCAACAAGGTAATTGGCAGAATACTTTGTAAAATTGTATATTTACGCCGGGCAAGTCCGATCACTCTTTCCACATGTATCCGGACATTTGCTATTTTCCTGGTAGTTTCCACTTCAATGGCTGACAACTGTTTCTTTCCTCTGGTAAATGCTGGTATATGCAGTTTGGCTTGCTGTAAGGCAACACTATCTGCGATATCAAAACCTCTGTCTGCAAGCACAATGTCACCAGGAAGTAATTTCCTCAAGATTCCACAATTTTCTGTCAGGTATTTATCACTTACTCGACCACCCCATGCTTTAGATATAAATGATATAGAGCCTTGGGTAGTAATACCTATTAAAAATTTTACAGTGTTGTGGTGTTTATAATTTGACCATGTCATTGCTCGAGCAATCAAGCTAGATGGTCTTTCAATAAACACCTCAAAACAATCAATAATCACTGACACCTTGTTCCCGAAGTTTTTTTGAAAGACTGATGGCATTGTGGCTCTAAGTTGATCTCTGTCAGGCCAATGTATAAGAAAACCAAGACGGTCAGACAACACTTCACTCCAACGATCAAAAATGCGCCCTGCAGTGGAAGAGGCTATCTGAAATCTATAAGCCAGATCTTGTAGTGGGACATTAAGCCTTACTCTTATAAGAACAAGCAACAGCTCTTGAAATGGTGTCAATGCATTAGTACTCGTTGACTTGATATATGGTAGAACTAAATGATATACTTGAATTAACATAAAAAAGTTTGGAAGACCAGTGTAAAATTGGGTTTTCTCGTTGTTATTTTGAAATGTTTCCATGTTAAGCTGAGCATCAAGGAGCTTTTGCTTGAGCTCAGAAAGCTCACACTGTAGGTTGCGAGTGTACTCGTCTTTATTGTGTAGGTCAATAATTGTCTCTGTGGTCTGCACAGATGCTTCTAGTGTAGCAACATGAAACTGACATCCCTTGTCTAAATCAGAGTCTTGACTAACATACTCTGTAATATTAAATAAGAAATGTTAGAATAAGAATTCATATACAGAAAATATTGACATCCAGTTATATACCCACTCCAACAAGCTATAGAAAAATGGTTTTTAAGAACAAATTCTACTGGAAATATTAATAGTGAACCATATTAATAACATATGACTTTAAATATAAATACCTTGGAGTGGAATATCATGAAAGTAGTTGTCAAAGTCGTGAGAGCTCGCTGAACTTGTGTCAGTTGACTCAGTTGTCACCTCAGACTTCTTCTTAGCCCGCTTGTTCTTGACCGGTTGGATCGATATTTTTGCCCTTTTCTCAGCTCTTGATCCTCGGGATGCGGCAGCAGCAGGGTCCTTTATGTTTGAATGTCCCATATTTACTGTAGGAGCCCAATCCACATTATTTTTATCGTAAAGATCCGATGGCTTTCCTAAACAAACACATGTGATTTGATGTTTACAGTGTTTCGCGCGAAATATTTTACCCGAGTTTTTTGTTACTTTAATAGCTAAACAAAGCCCAGAACTTCTACAGGAATATCTGACTTACCTGAAACAAAATGTGCGCTACAAACTCGGGTTGTTTCGGCTTTTTTCTCGGTCAGATCTTTGTCAGATCGGTGAATATTCTTGAACCATCGTTTCCTTCTTTCAGTGCTTAATCGTTCTGTTTCTTCACCATTATGACTTATAATTTTCGGAATTCGAAAAAAACTGTATTTTCCTTTGTCGCGAACATTGTTGTGGCCACAACCAACTACAGCACATAGAGTTGGCATGGCAAACTTAGATAACTTACATATTCACTACTGTGACCGTGCCCTAAAACACGCTTACATATCGTCCAACATGGCCGACTTCCGGTTTTCTTAATTATGCGTGACTTAACGTGCAAATGAAGAATATCCTGGTGACAACAAGTTCAGTGATGAAGGTGGAAAAGCTATAAAAGGCAATCTGATATATTTCATAAGGAATGACAATGAAAAAGTTGAAAAACAGTTTGAGTTTTTCATGGCAGATAACTCAGAAGGCTTGATGCAAGCCGGGATGGCAAGAATGAATCAGTCCATTGAGGCGTTTGTTTATTGTATTCTTGGTTCACAAGTCAATGTAAGATCGTCCATCTTGGGTTTGGCAGGAAGTGCGAAAGAGGCTCAGCGCGAGTTCCTTGTTTTAGTTGAGGATGCGATCAGAATGACAGACATCTCAAAGAGCGTACAGAGGTTTCAGCTCACGATTGACGAGGCGAAAGTCAGACTTGATCTTGCAATCTCACCAGTTAATTGACTGATGCCGTCAAATCTTCTTCTGAACACACAGAGCACAGTTGGGTATAATAAAGAGCTAAAGAAGGCAAGTTCTGACATGAAGTTTGGGGTCAATAAATCAGTGAATTTGGAGATGAAATCAGTCAGAGTTAAGCATATGAATGGGGACTTATCGAAAATCAAGAGACCTACTTCTCAAAAGACTTCAACTGAGGCTGAGTCTGAAGCTACAAAGACAAGCGAGAGCAAGATCGACAGCGCCAGCGCCAGCGATACAAATCATGATAAAATTAAGGTTGGATTGATTTCAGTTGGACTGGTGTCAGCCTTCTTGATTCATCGCCTTTTGTTTTGAAATCGCTCAACCATGAATATGGCAACACCTATTATCACAACCCAAGCATTTTGTCCAAGAAAGCTGATCACTGAGCCAGCAGCTCTAAAAACGAAGCTGACTATTGAACCAATCAGACCTGGTAAAATTGCAGCAATCTTTTTTCCAAGAGTCTTCAGCCCGTTCCCCACCCCTTTTGCAACAGTCTTCAAGTCTTTTGTTAATGTGCTCATTATCACTCCAATCATTGTTCCAACTGCCAAAACAACAGCAGAGACTGTAAAACCATACTTCTTGAAGATGTTTCTAACTCTCTCACAGAGTGATAATCTTTCTTCGAGTCTCTCTCTTTCATTCTCAAGTGCATCAATCTGCGCTTTATTTTCTGCTATCCTTTCTCTTGCTTGTTCTCTTATAGCAGGGTTTTCATTCTCATCATCAGCAATATCTCGATCATCTTGAATTGACTGTTGCAGCTTCTCAATTTCTTTACCTTTCTGTGCAATCAAAACCTCTCGCTCTGGACCAAGTGATGTTTTAATTTCTTTTGAGAGACTTGGATTCAACCTCTGCATATTTGTGCCTCTTTCTTCAGTAAACAAAGGATATGTCTTCTTGCCTTGACCAAACATCTTCACCTGCAACCTTCCTTTCTTGCTATAAGAAACTTCAAGCTCTTAAGCTTTTGCCTCAGGAAAAATTGCAGTGATTCCCAAGCATTCTCATTTGAAGTTAAAACTCGCGAACCAAAAATATCACCTTCAATAAAAGATGTCTCAGCAGTTTTTGAGCCCTTTTCTTGCTCTCTGTTCATTGTCGTCATTGGAATTTCTTCACCAGAGGGCCCTGGAGTTGAATTCTCGTCTGGTTGAAAAGGTGTTGCTGTGTCTCCTTCATCTCCTCCCGCCTCGTCATCTTCTTCATCATCATCATCATTATGTTCTAACAGAGGATCACTATCTCCAAAATATGCCGTTTTTTTAAAATATCTTTTATAAACAATGGGAAGTCAGTGAAAGAATTGGCCCGAGTTTTGAAAAAAAGATGTCAAACGCTCTCAAGGCAGACCATGTGATTCACAGAGTAACATTCAACCCGAAGAGTCCTTCCCCTGGTGAAGTCCTTAGGGTTCCAGTTCCAAAACTTGATAATGGGGTAGTACTTGTACCTGGATCACTTGCACTCATCTTCAACTTGACAGTCAGTGAGCATGCAAACAATTTCTTCGTGAACAATGTATCAAGAGCTCTTGTTGATCGACTGACTTTGAAGTTTGCAGGAGAAATTGTGCAAGACACTGATGGTTATGATTTATTCAAGCTTTGGGAGGACCTCTTCTTGACTAAGAATGAGAGAGCAAACATGTTCAGAGAAGGTATTCAGTCTGAAGATCTTTCGAAAATCAAATGCAACGCTGGAGATAAGAAGACTTCAGGCGTTGATAAAGAAAATAAGCTCAATGAAGTGTATAGAAACATATACAGGATTCCATTGGATCATGATATTTTGAAAGATCATGGAGTCTTTTTCGCGAGAGCTCTTTCTGATGAGCTTCTCTTTGAGTTCAGGCTTCCACCTGCTGGTAGTGTTGTGAAGGGATCCGACCCAACAAAACTTTATTATAAATTGACTAACATCCAGCTTGAGTACGAAGTCATTCACAGCCAAAAACTCGCTGATGAAGCTCTTTCTAACTACAAAAATGGAAAGAGATTCATCTAGTGCATATCACTCATCTCAAGACAATCTCAATAGATAAAGGTTCCGACACGATCATCAATGAGAGCATCAATGTTCCAAGGAGGTCTATGAAGGGACTTCTTCTCTTTTATGAGACATACACAGCAGGAACAAGAAATAGTGAAAAGACATTTAATCCCAACATCACTGATGTTAAGCTGACTGTTGATGGTATTCAAAATAAGACTTACAGCCAAGGAATGAAGGCAAGAGATATTTGGGAAAAAGTCTTTAGAAGATTTGGGAAGGAGAACAGCCCGATGAATGCTACGGACTTTTATGCTGGAAACAGGTTCGGTCTCTTTATCGATCTTAGAAGCATGAGAGACAATGATCTTCATGGTTTAGGATTGAGATTGGTGAATACAAAAGATGGAGTTCATCTTGCAAATAACAGGAAAGGATCAGGTTCAGGAAATGTTAAATGTCACATCTTCATTCTTTCTGATGCTCAGCTCAACATCGTCAACAGAGAGCTTGAAAGTGTGACCTATTAATAATGCGATCATGAGTTTTTTTGGGATTATTTCCGAGATATTGTCATTAGTTTTTTCTGATGGTTCAAATGCATTTTGAGATTGTCTGGAGAATTAATGTAGTCTCAAAATTCTTCAATTTTGTTTTGATTTTTGAAAAAAAATGCACCAATCATTTTGCCTTGAAATCATCGCTGTTCATTTTTAAAAGAGATAAAAAATTAATATCATTTTTCAAAATGTCCTTCAAAACACGGTTGTTTTGACACATTAAATTGCCTTGTTTTTGAGGCAAATGAATTTTTTTCAACTGCCCTGTTTTTCAGGCAATTTGGAAAAAATGTGCCAGAAACCCCCTTTTCCTACTACTACAAAACCAACAGTGTTTTCTAAAGCATCAAGAACAGCCTGATATTGCTCTCCTGACAGTGCTACTTCATGCCACTTTAGTTATTTAAACCCTCTAAGTCTCAATATCCACATATGCAAATTCTCCTCACTTATATCCATACATTTCCTTAAAGGAGTAACTGAGTGAAATTGATGAAATATCAGAGCATTTTCCCTCCGGGGATTTTTTTAATTCCCTTAACCTTTTCTCTTCATAATGTACTGACAATTTTCATAAGATACTGACAATTTTAAAGCATCTATCAGCATCATTAGGTTTTTTTTCTTTCTTTTTGTTAAGAACGTCCATTTGAATAGATATTTGAACTTACAAGGCTAATAAATTAGTGATATAAACCAGTAAATAAATACATGTTGTGGTTTAATTTTGTCCTTGCTTTCAATTTTATCTTCCTTTCGTCCAAAACTCGTTACCATACATTAAGATTGAACCAAAGAACCAAAACAATATTACTTCACAAGCTAATACAAGCGAGATAAACAAGATTTGGTTGCAGAAAAAAATGCACACCTATTCAATGTTCATAAGTTTTTGTATTTGATTATCAATAGCAAAATCCTCCCCATTGTACCTTTGAATAAAAGCAGAAAAGGGTCAAACATTTGTTGACATATTGTAGCGTAGTGTAATGGGAGTATTCTTTGCAACAACTACAGAAGATCGCCCGGCATAGTGATATTTCCCGTCCATCTGCTTTCTGAATTTCCTCATATGTAATTAGTTTTGCCCAGAGAATCAAGAAGGACAAAATATTTTTCTGGCGGAGGCCTGCTTTTTAATCAAAATTTCCACTTTCTTCCCTTTGCCTGATAAATCAACTTCACAGCCATATCCTCAAGCAAGAGTCATGATGTCTCTGAATACCATCCAAGGGATAAAAAGAGTTGATGGATTGGTGAGCCCCGTTGCCTTTAAGTGAGTTTGCTTGTGCTTCAAGCTTTCCCCTAATTCCTGCAGATATGAATCGAAGAGGGGTCCTGAAAGTTTAAGTTTATTTCCACACACCTCCTCGTGAAGAGAATCCATCTCCCCCATGCCATAGTTTGGCTTGTCTTTAGCCTTTCTCACAGACTTTATCCATACTTTTTCCACGGAAAACTTTATTTCTACTGAACTGGTGTTCCAAAATAGGTCTTCTCGCTCCGATCTATTGTTTTTAGCCCTCAAATCTAAATGCACAAGCTCCCTTTGGTCCGTATTTTTCCCGTGTGTTTTTCAAGACAGGCACTGGGGGAAAACCACTATCAATAGATGAGCCCGCACAAATGGGAGAAAACTCCTTGGTTACCGACCATCGTGTACAGTTCAGGCACTGGTTCATGCACTACATAAGTTTGTTAAAATACCATATTTGTCATAATTCTGAAATAATAGACTGAGTGCACTTAATCTGTCAACAACTATTAAATAATTAATTGCTACTAAATGATATTAAGCACACCAAAGGAAACAAAGGCATAATTGAGTAGTATTCAGTAAATGTTATATTTCACTGATTAAGTATGCTCATTCTAATAGAAATAGTATAGAAATAGAAATAACAATATCAAATTTCAGAATAGAGAACAATTTTTGTTTTACAGGTTAATAATAATCACTCTTTATGACTATTAATATATATTATTACACAAACATGCCTTCATCACTTTTGACGTCTGCGATTTCTAACCTTCAATCTCAGAACAACTCCTTTCGAAAGCGCTGGACTATGTATCCCAATTCACCACAATCTCCCAGCAAGACCGCCACATCATCAACCACGCCAAAAAGTCACTCCTGTACCACCAAAACACATCATGGATAAAAAAGAACACCGAAACCATGTTCGATGTGACAATTGGATCGTACAATGGTGCCGAAACTTGTAAGCTAATAGGATCCTACATGCTATCCTTACTCCCCACCAGCTTCAAAGACCAAGTAGGGCTCTACCGTGACAATGGTCTAGCAGTCTGTAAAGCCACACCAAGAGAAATTGAAAAAATCAAACAGCAAGTGACCAATGTATTTACATCACATGGCCTAAAACATCACTATCTAGGCAAAAAAAAAACACCGTTCACTTCCTAGACATAACCTTTGACCTCAAGAATGGAACCTACGAACCATTACCGAAACCCAACAATGAATTACTTTATATTCATCGACAGAGCAACCATCCCCCCAGTGCTACTTAAGAACATCCCAGAAAACATTAACAAAAGACTGGCGAGCATCTCATCTAACAAAAAAGTTTTCAAAAAAGCCATTCCCCCGTACCAAAAGACACTCGCTGATAGTGGGTATACACACAAATTATCATACAACCCGCAAACTACCCAAACATTAGCAAGAAACAACAGGAGAAATTGCCAAAGAAACATTACTTGGTACAACCCCCCATGGAACTCCAGCGTCAAAGCCAACCTAAGAATGAAGTTCCTTAACATTGTTGTAAAATGTTTCCCAAAGGAGCACCCACTTCACAAGATCTTCAATAGACGTACACTCAAACTCAGCTACTCTTGTATGCCAAACATGAAATCCATCAGCGCGTCGCATAACAAAACACTTCTTTCAGCTCACACCCCGACCCCAACGCAACAACCCAGCAAGGAATGTAACTGCCATACTAAAGAAGAATGCCCCCTTGAAGGAAAATACCTTCAAATGAAAGTTGTTTACCAAGCAATCATAACTGACACAACAACAGGATCCTACGTTGGACTTGCAACAAACTTCAAAGACCGTTACAGAAACCACAAAGCATCCTTCCATAACACCAACAAAAGAAACGCCACTGAACTAACAAAGCACGCAAGGAAATTGAAATTAGCCAAAATACCTTTCAGCACAAAGTGGAAAGTGATCAGAAAATGCAAAACTTTCGACAATATCAACAAAAGATGTAGTTTGTGTCTTTATGAAAAATTTGTAATAATCTGCAAGTAAGATTTATGTACCCTTAACTAACATAATGAATTAGCATCCTTGTGCCCCCACAGGAATAGATATGTACTTAAAAACCTTTATTTAGCACGTGCAACAAAATAGAAAGCACCATACCAACCATGTCTTTGAATTTAACTGCCAGCATTCAAACCTTAAACCATATGAAACAGGACTGTTGCAGCAATAAAACAATGAATCACTCCTGAAGTCCTGAACTGGTTTGATTTAATATACAATGCTCCTCCAAGAGTTGAGTGCTCTTTGAAATCCATTCACCACAACGAAATAGTAAAGATTATTACTCCTTAGGTAAATGTGGAATGCTGACAAGTACATTCTGTGGCAGCATATAGCTCAATTATTCTACCAAGATGTTGAGAACGGACTTAAGTTATTGCCAAGAATAACTTATGACCATATTAAGCTAACACCCTACTCTGTAATGAGAGTGAGCCTTGCCAAACAAGTACTTAGTGCAACAGTAGCAGCTGTGCTGGAGTCATTTGGGCCTAAAGATGCATCAGCTACAGCCACGTTGCAGCATGATTGATTCATTCTTTGATTGCCTGAATGTACGTAACAGAACAGAGCACCAGGGGAAAAGAAAACCCTTTCTAGCTCCATACACCTGTGTAAATGACCCAAGATTTACCTGGCTGGAAACAGATTTCCGTGGATACTTGAGTGATTAGAAGTTGAGCATCGATAACTGACCTGGGGATTTTACTAAAAATGGCCGAAGTCACATGTTTATTTCATGGCACACCTATGAAGGTGTGCAGATTACTACACTCTCAGTTGTAGAAGCCACCAGATTCCTTCTCAGCGAGGGCATGGAATATGTGCTCACTGAGCGCTTTTGCCAAGATCCCCTTGAGGAGTATTTTGGGAACCAAAGAAAGCTTGGACACCAAGTGATAACCCTGACCTAAAGACCTTTGGAGACAACAACACCACCATCAGGGTACAATGTGCTGTCTCCTGCCAGTCTGGCAACACACGTGGCAGAAAAGACAGGGATAAAGCATGGGTAAATTTATCCAGTGACCCAGTCCTGAAGAGGAAGAGGAAAAAGTAGAATGCAATTATAGTTACTAAAATACTAAACCACCCAAAACCAGCACAATTCCACCCAAAGCCATGATCACTGAATAATTTAACGGTAAAATCACATGGCCTGCCAAAACAAAATTATTACTGT